AACACCAACACCCTGCCACCCTACCCTGCCACACCAACCACCCTGCCAGCCTACCTAAGCACACAACCACCCTCCACCCTACCTAGCACACCAACCACCCTACCAGCCTTACTAAGAACACCAACCCCAGGCCAGCCTACCTAGACACCAACCACCATGCCAGCCCCACTACACCAACCAAACCACCCTGCCAGCCTACCTAGCGCACCAACCACCCTGCCGCCTACCTAGCACACCAACCACCATGACAGGCCTACTAGCTCACCAACCACCATGCAGCCTACCTAGCACACCCAACCACCCCGGACAGCTACCTTGCACAACCAAACCACCCGCCAGCCTACTAGCACACCAACACACACATGCCAGCCTACCTAGCACACCAACCACCATGCCAGCTACCCCTAGCACCCCAACCACCCTGCCAGCCTACCTAGCTCACACCAACCACCCTGCCAGCCTCCTGCACCCACCACCATGCCAGCCTACCTAGCACACCAACCACCATGCCAGCCTCCTACTGAGCACACCATCCACCATGCCATCCTACCTAGCATCAAACAACCACCCTGCCCAGCTACCTAGCCTCACCAACCACCTGCAGCTACCTAGCCACCAACCCCATGCACAGCCTACCTAGCTCACCAACCACCATGCCAGCTACCTAGATCCACCAACCACCATGCCAGCTACCTAGCACACCAACCACCTCTTGCCAGCCTACCTAGCACACAACGCCCTCCATTTGCCTCTTAGCCTCAGTTCTCTGTGAGTGACGGCATGAAGGTCCCTGCCATCCTTAGTGTCATGTCATCGTGGGAATGTGTTAGACTTGGAGTTCACCTTGATGAGAAAAACTATGAACATGTGATGTTAACTGTGTTTTCATTATGGCTGGAATACGGTGATAGGAAACGTGTTAAATGTGTTGTGAAATTAGAAACCTCTTACTTCAACCTCATTTGTTTTCTCACAAGAAGACGTAGGAGAACTGACACGAGATTCAACATAGTCCATCTCTCTTTCACGGAGTGACACCATCATTCTTTGATGAGTGAGTCCTTTATGGATGTTGATGAGTGAGTCCTTCATGGTGTTGAGATGTGAGTCCTTCATGATGTTGATGAGTGCGTCATTCATGATGTTGATGAGTGAGTCCTTCATGATGTTGATGAGTGAGTCCTTCATGATGTTGATGAGTGAGTCCTTCATGTGTTGATGAGATGAGACAGTCCTTCTGATGTTGATGGTTGAGTCCTTCATGATGTTGATGAGTGAGTCCTTCATGATTGTTGATGAGTGAGTCCTTCATGATGTTGATGAGTGAGTCCTTCATGATGTTGATGAGATGGTCCTTCATGATGTTGATGAGTGAGTCCTTCATGATGTTGATGAGTGGTCTTCATGTGTTGATGAGTTGAGAGTTCCTTCATGATGTTGATGATGTGAGTCCTTCTGATGTTGATGAGTGAGTCCTTCATGATGTTGATGAGTGAGTCCTTCATGATGTTGATGAGTGAGTCCTTCATGATGTTGATGAGTGAGTCCTTCATGATGTTGATGAGTGAGTCCTTCATGATGTTGATGAGTGAGTCCTTCATGATGTTGATGAGTGAGTCCTTCATGATGTTGATGTGTGAGTCCTTCATGATGTTGATGAGTGAGTCCTTCATGATGTTGATGAGTGAGTCCTTCATGATGTTGATGAGTGAGTCCTTCATGATGTTGGTGAGTGAGTCTTCATGATGTTTGATGTTGTGAGTCTTCATGATGTTGATGGTGAGTCCTTCATGGATTTGATGTGTGAGTCCTTCATGACTGTTGCATAAGTGGAGTCCTTCATGATGTTGGATGAGTGAGTCCTTCATGATTGATGATGAGTGAGTCCTTCATGATGTTGATGAGTGAGTCCTTTCATGATGTTGATGTGTGGAGTCCTTCATGATGTTGATGATGAGGTCCTTCTGATGTTGATGAGTGAGTCCTTATGATGTTGATGAGTAGAGTCCTCATGATGTTGATGAGTGAGTCCTTATGGATGTTGATGTGTGAGTCCTTCATTGATGTTGATGAGTGGTCCTTTCATGATTTTGATGTGTGGTCCTACATGATGTGATTAAGTGGTCCTTCATGATGTTGATGTGTGAGTCCTTCATGATGTTGATGAGTGAGTCCTTCATGATGTTGATGAGTGAGTCCTTCATGATGTTGATGTGTGAGTCCTTCATGATGTTGATGAGTGAGTCCTTCATGATGTTGATGTGTGAGTCCTTCATGATGTTGATGAGTGAGTCCTTCATGATGTTGTTAGAGTGAGGCTTCATAATGTTGAGAGTGAGCCTTCATGATGTTGATGAGTGAGTCCTTATGATGTTGAGAGTGAGTCCTTCATGATGTTGATGAGTGGTGTCCTCATGATGTGTTGATGAAGTGAGTCCTTCATGATGTTGATGAGTGAGTCCTTCATGATGTTGATGTGTGAGTCCTTCATGATGTTGATGAGTGAGTCCTTCATGATGTTGATGTGTGAGTCCTTCATGATTGTTGAAGAATGTGTCCTCTATGATGGTGATGAGTGAGTCCTTCATGATGGATGAGTGAGTCCTTCATGATGTTGATGAGATGAGCCTTCATGATGTTGATGAGTGAGTCCTTCATGATGATGATGTGTGAGTCCTTCATTTGATGTGATGATGAGTCCGTCATGATGTTGGATGAGTGAGTCTTCATTGTGTTGGATGTGTGAGTCACTTCATTATGTTGATGAATGAGTCCTTCATGGATGTGATGTGTGCAGTCCTTCATGATGTTGATGAGTGAGTACTTCAAGATGTTGATGAATGAGTCCTTCATGATGTGATGAGTGGGTCCTTCCCCCCTTGATGTTGATGTGTGAGTCCTTCATGATGTTGATGAATGAGTCCTTCTGATGTTGATGAGTGGTCCTTCATGATGTTGATGTGTGAGTCCTTCATGATGTTGATGAGTGAGTCCTTCATGATGTTGATGTGTGAGTCCTTCATGATGTTGATGAGTGAGTCCTTCATGATGTTGGATGTGTGGTCCTTATGGATGTTGATGAATGAGTCCTTCATGATGTTGATGTGTGAGTCCTTCACACTGTTGATGAGTTAGTCCTTCATGATGTTGATGAGTGAGTCCTTCAAACTGTTGATGAGTGAGTCCTTCATAATGCTGATGAGTGAGTCCTTCATGATGTTGATGAGTGAGTCCTTCAAACTGTTGATGAGTGAGTCCTTCATAATGCTGATGAGTGAGTCCTTCATAATGCTGATGAGTGAGTCCTTCGCACTTTTGATGAGTAAGTTCTTCACACTGTTGATTAGTTAGTCCTTCACACTGTTGATGAGTTAGTCTTTCACACTGTTGATGAGTTAGTCCTTCATAATGTTGATGAGTGAGTCCTTCAAACTGTTGATGAGTGATTCCTTCACACTGTTGATGAGTTAGTCCTTCATAATGTTGATGAGTGAGTCCTTCAAGCTGTTGATGAGTGTCTTCACACTGTTGATGAGTGAGTCCTTCATAATGTTGATGAGTGAGTCCCTCAAACTGTTGATGAGTGAATCTTACACTGTTGATGAGTGAAACTCACATGTTGATGAGTGAATCTCTCACTGTTGATGACGTGAATCTTCACACTGTTTATGATGTGGAATCTTCACCGCTGTTGTGAGTGAATCTTTCACACTGTTGATGAGTGAATCTTTCACACTGTTGATGAGTGAGTCATCACACTGTTGACGGCGAGCGAGTCAATCACACTGGGTTGATGAGTGAAGTCCTTCCACACTGGTTGTTGAGTGAGTCCTTCACACGTTGATGAGTGAGACCTTCACACTGTTGTTGAGTGAGTCCTTCACCTGTTGATGATGTGAGTCCTTCAAACTGTGATGAGTGAGAGTGAAGTCCTTCACATGGTTTTGAGTGAGTCTTCACATGTTGTGGTGAGTCCTTCACAATGTTGATGAGTGAGTCCTTCACACTGTGTTGAGGTGAGTCCTTCACACTGTTGTTGAAGTGAGTCCTTCACACTGTTGATGAGTGAGTCCTTCATTGTTGAGAGGAGTCATCACACTGTTGATGAGTGAGTCCTTCACACTGTTGATGAGTGAGTCCTTCACACTGTTGTTGAGTGAGTCCTTCACACTGTTGTTGAGTGAGTCATCACACTGTTGTTGAGTGAGTCCTTCACACTGTTGTTGAGTGAGTCCTTCACACTGTTGATGAGTGAGTCCTTCACACTGTTGATGAGTGAGTCCTTCACACTGATTGTTGTGTGATCCTTCACACTGTTGTTGAGTGAGTCCTTCACACTGTTGATGAGTGAGTCCTTCACACTGTTGATGAGTGAGTCCTTCACACTGTTGATGAGTGAGTCTTCACACTGTTGATGAGTGAGTCTTCACACTGTTGATGAGTGAGTCCTTCACACTGTTGATGAGTGAGTCTTCACACTGTTGATGAGTGAGTCCTTCACACTGTTGATGAGTGAGTCCTTCACACTGTTGATGAGTGAGTCCTTCACACTGTTGATGAGTGAGTCCTTCACACTGTTGATGAGTGAGTCCTTCACACTGTTGATGAGTGAGTCTTCACACTGTTGATGAGTGAGTCTTCACACTGTTGATGAGCGAGTCCTTCACACTGTTGATGAGCGAGTCCTTCACACTTTTGATGAGGACGTTGAAGATCCTCATTTTCAATATTATTATTATACTCAGGGAAAGCGTTAAACCAGCAAGAGTTATACAGTGTCCAATAAAGTGAAGGCAAACAGGCTTGATCCAAGGAAGGGGAGGGTAATTATATTTCCTTGGATCAAGAGCTCTTCCACTGAAGGGTCACTGCCAGTAATGATTAAAGGTTTCTTGCATGTTGCAGGTCAGTGCAGGTCAGGTGGGTGCAGGACAACCCTGGTGAGACTGCAACAGGAGAGTTTGCCCTGCGAGGCCTCTACATAGGCCCACCCTGCCCCTATGCCTGTCATGGTTCACGGCCTCTGTTTACCGCCGCTGGTCTCTGCAAGTGTGACAAAGGTTACAAATGGTACGGTCTTGGCATGATTTACAGCTGCAGTGTGAGGAGGATTATTTACTGTGTGACACATCAACATCTGAGACTCAACTCCTGCAACCACATACAGGTAGTGCCACACACACACATACACACACACACACACACACACACACACAACACACACACACACACACACACACACACACACACACACACACCACACAACAACATACACAATACACATTACACATTTACACCACAATTCATGCACAACACAACACACACACACACAACACACCACACACACACACACCACCCACCACACACACACACACACACACACACACACACACACACACACATACACACAACACCACACATACACACATACACCATACACATACCACACATACATGCACACACCCACACAACACACACACACCAACACAACACACACACACCACACAACACACACACACACACACACCAACACACACATACCACTCACACACCACACATACACACGCATACACATACACACATACATGCACACATTACATTCCACAGGGAGATCGACTGGGAAAACTTGGTGCCACATGAGAGCCAAGATGGATGGATGTGGTACTTGAAAACCTTTTTTTCATTTTTTTTTTGGCCCCCCATCATACATGTCAGGGGACACAAACCAGAAGAGAGAGGGGAGGATGAGCCAGCAAGACGGGACTTGTGTTCCACCCTGAGCAGTTCGTACATCGAGGACATCACTTACGAGAGGCCCTTGGAGCTAGCGATCATTGTGAGTTTCTGAGTTTTGACTTATAGTAGAGTTACAAGTGGAGGAAGGTAACAGGAAACTGAAGGGGACAGGCCGAACTATAAAAGAGGGGGGGGGACTACACAGGTATGAGAAACTCCATGCAGGAGGTTCAGGTGGGACAGAGAAATTGGTAGGAAAAATCAGGTAAACGAGATGATGGAATATGTCGGCAACAAAGTGCAAGGAGGCAGAGGAAAGTTTTGTTCCAAGGGAAACAGGAAATAATAGGAAGACCAAAAACGAGTCCTTCCTTGTTTACCCGAAGGTGTAGGGAGGGCAAAAACTAAGTGCAACGAGAATGGAAAAGGTACAGGAGGCATAGGACCCGGAAAACAAGGAGATTAGTAGAAAGAGCCAGCAAAGAGTATGCGCAGTTGAGGAGGGAGGCCCAGCGACAGTTGAAAACGACATAGCATCGAAAGTCAAATCTGACCCGAAAATGCTGTATAGCACTTTAGGAGGAAGATTCCAACAGTCAAGGGACAGGTGTGATAAGGCTGAGGAAAGAAGGTGGAGAATCACAGAAACGATTCAAGGGTATGTGCGGAGCTCAACACGAGATTTAAGGAAGTATTTACAGTAGGAGACAGGAAGGACTCTGGGGGGACAGACCAGATGGGGACACAAACAAGAATACCCCACCAACAAGTGATTGGGACGACCAACATTACAGGATGCGGAGGAGGTGAAGAAATGCTAAGGGACATCGATACCTCAAAGGCAATGGACCGGACAACAATCTCTCCATGGGTCCTTAGAGAGGGAGCAGATTATTGGTTCGTGATACCACTTACCACAATCTTCAACACATCCTGGAAACTGGGGCAAACTACCTGAGGTATGGAAGACGGCAAATGTAGTTCCCATTTTCAAAAAAGGAGAACAGAAAAAGAGGGCACTACTGTAGAACGTGTCATTGACGTGTATAGTATGCAAAATTATGGAGAAGATTATCAGGAGATTGGTGGAGCACCTGGAACGGAAAACAGGAGTTTAATACCAACCAGCACGGATTCACGGAAGCAATATCCTTTGTCACAAAAACCTTCTGGAGTTTTACGATAAAATAACGAAGTAAGACAAGAGGGAGAGAGGAGTGGGTTGATTGCATCTTCTTGGACAGCAAGAAGGCCTTTGACACAGTTCCTCACAAGAAGATAAGTGCGAAGCTTTAGAGCATCAGGGCGCATATAACAGGAGAGCACTGCAATGGATCAGAGAATACCTGACAGGGAGGCAACAAACGATTCATGGTACGTAAGATGTATCACAGTGGGCACCTGTGACGGAGCGGGGTCCACAGGGTCGGTCCTAGACCAGTGCTATTTTTGGTCATATGTGAACTGACATGACGGAAGGGTTAGACCTCAGAAGTGTCCCTGTTTGCAGATGATGTGAAGTTAAATGAGGAGAATTCAAATTGATGAGGACAGGCAGGACTTCAAAGAGACCTGGACAGACTGGGACACCTGGTCCAGCAAAGGCTTCTCGAATTTAATCCTGTGTAATTGCCTAGCTATCCTCATGGGGTTGAACTTCAAGCTCCCAGACCTGGCTCTCAAGCTTTCGTCAAACTGCAGAGGTACGTTGTCAAAAATCTTGGCTGCATTGGTTATTCCTAGTCTGTTGTGAGCTTCCATTACCTCCTTTGCAAGCTTATTCCTCTCATTTAATGGATATAAATAGAAGCTTGGACTCTTGTCCAATTCTAATGCTATATTTATGTTGTTTTAATCTTAGTTTGAGATTTTTACCAGTTTGACAGTAATAAACTTTATCGCAAATTTTACAAGGAATCTTATAGACACATCCATCAGCATTTTGGGGGGAATTCTTTATCAAAAGTTTTTTTTTACTGTATCAAGATTTTTAAATACAACTTTGATATTAAAAGTCTTAAGAAGAGAAGGCATATCAACCAAGTTTTCATGGTAAGGGAGAACCAACATATTTTTAGTTGAATAAGGCTGGTTGTCCCTTTTTGGATTGTAAAAAGTATTTCTTGCAACTTTAAAAGATTTTAAAAGATTTAGCTCTCTCATAAATTCTGGATATTTCTTCATCTATGAACTCTGGACTACAACTATGCAAAGATCTCAAGAACATTGATGAGAAAACCAACAGTTTTTACTCTATCTTGATCGTGAAGAATAATATGGAATAGGAACAGTTATTTGTAGGTTGTCTGTTAAATTTTTTAAATTTGCATTCATTATTACCCTTAATAATTAAAAACATCTAGAAAAAGGTCAATGAGTTTTTTCTCAAATCAACAGTAAAAGTTTATAGAATGGGCAAAGCTATTTAATTTAACAAGGAAATGGTGTATATCTAACATTCTTGGGCATAAGACACAAAATATCATCAACATATCTGAACCATTAGCTCTATCGGGAGGATTGTGTTTTAATCAGCCTTGTTTCAAAAAAATAAATGCATAGGTTACTAAGAACAGGTGAAAGAGGATTTCCCATTGCCATACCAAACTTCTGAATGTAAAACTTATCATTAAATATAAATTTTGCATCAACAATGCAAAGTTTAATAAGTTTAATGATGGTAGGAACTGGCAATGGTAAATCGTGATTAACAAGTTCTTCAGATAGGAAACTTAATAAATCATCAACGGGAACTTTTGTAAATAAGGAAGTAGCATCGAAACTAACCATGTTAAAACCATTTAAGTCAGTCAAAGAGCTTAATTTATGATGAACAATTAGCCACATGTTTCTAATTCTTTATCTTGTCGGTATTGGTGTCACCATTTCATGTACCTGGCTTCATACACTTCATGGTCCAGGGGACAGAAACAATTGTAGTTAAATCAGCTTTAATTCGATACCAATGTTTACCATTAAAGCCAAAGTCTTTCATATTAGCTATTAGGGTAGTTGAAACAAGAATTGTATAAGAAGACGGATCTGTGTTTGCAGGTCTGACCAAGTGTTTGTTGTTATAATTCATATTTTTTTTGTTTTTGTTGCTGTTATTGTTAAATTTATATGAAGCACGATACCTGTGTGGGTAATTCAACACAAGTAGTGTAGACTCTGTGTACTGGTGTATGTCTGTTAAGGTCCAGACACACACGCGTCTTAACTACATTCAGTAAGTTGTCTTTATGACCTGTTGTAGATCAGCGTAGGATGCGACAAACTCTCGAAGGAGGGGCGGCCTGTGCTCCTGCAGTACTCCAAGGATGGTGGTGTCACCTGGGCCCTGGTGGAGGAGGGATGTCCTGCTTCAGCTCTTCACTGTCATGGTCCCAAGGAACCCAGCGTGTATCACCCAGGCCACCACGGACCATGGACTCGAGTCCTGCTTCCTGTTGACCACAGACTGGCCCAAGGGTGAGGCAAAAGGCAGCATGACAATGGTGTATTTAGTACTATTGGCATAGTCAACTGTTTCTCCTGAGGATATTGTAAGAGAGTTGCTAACAGAGGGACGACATATTTCCTAACCCAAAAATATACCGTATAACAGTCTAGAATATCATCATTGGTGACCACCGTATAAGGTCGTTCGTACCCAGATAACAATACTTTATATAATAACAAAGGGAAGGACTCGCCATCACTCTCATATTCATTTTAATTACTGTACTTAGTGGTCACCTCACCCAGATAATTTTTTTTTATTAAACACATCGGCGTTTCCCACCCAAGCAAGGTGGCCAGAAAAGAAAAAAACTTTCATCTATCATTCATTCCATCACTTTCTTGCCAGAAGGTGTGCTGTACATACAGTATTAAAACTGCAACATTAACACCCATCTTCAGAGTGCAGAGGCATGTACTTTACCATCTCCAGGACTCAAGTCCGGCCTGCCGGTTTCATGAATCCTTCATTAAATGTAAACGTACTTTGTCACACTCCTACAGCACGTCAAGTATTAAAAACCATTTGTCTCCATTTGCTCCTATCTGACACGCTCACGCATGCCTGGTGGAAGTACAAGCCCCTCGCACCCGAAACCTCCTTTACCCCCTCCCTCCAACATTTCCTAGGCCGACCCCTACCCCGCCTTCCCTCCACTACAGATTTAAACACTCTCGAAGTCATTCTGTTTTGTTCCATCCTCTCTACATGTCACAGAATATTCTCATATAACACATTGACACAACGTCCACCTACTGCATTAGTCAACTATTATCCTAAACATATAAACTGGTGTATACAGAGAACACAATAATGTAAATGTAGAGGTTATCTAGAACTATCCTCCCCACCAGTTAATATAACCCTGCCTTCTGTACGCTGGAACTATCCTCCCCACCAGTTAATATAACCCTGCCTTCTGTACGCTGGAACTATCCTCCCCACCAGTTAATATAACCCTGCCTTCTGTACGCTGGAACTATCCTCCCCACCAGTTAATATAACCCTGCCTTCTGTACGCTGGAACTATCCTCCCCACCAGTTAATATAACTGCTTCTGTACGCTGGAATATCCTTCCCCACCAGTTAATTAACCTGCCATTCTGTACGCTGGAACTATCCTCCCACCAGTTATTAATATAACCTGCCTTCACTGTACTGCTGGAACTATCCTCCCCCAAGTTAATATAACCCTGCTTCTGTACGCTGGAAAAACTATCCTCCCCACCAGTTAATATAACCCTGCCTTTGTAGCTGGAACTTATTCCTCCCACCAGTTAATATAACCCTGCCTTCTGTACGCTGGATATCCTCTCCCACCAGTTAATATAACCTGCCTTCTGTACGCTGGATCTATCCTTCCCAACAGATTAATATAACCCTGCCTGCAGTACGCTGGGAACTATCCTCCCCACAGGTAATGTAACCGCCTGCTTCTGTACGCTGGAACTATCCTCCCCACCAGTTAATATAACCCTGCCTTCTGTACGCTGGAACTATCCTCCCCACCAGTTAATATAACCCTGCCTTCTGTTTTTTTTACGCTGGAATATCCTTTCCCTCCAGGTTTAATATAACCCTGCCTTTTGTACGCTGGACTATCCTCCCACCAGTTAATATAACATTTGGCCTTCTGTACGCTGGAACTATCCTCCCACCAGTTAATAAAACCCTGCCTTCTGTACGCTGGAAATCTACCTCCCCACAGTTAATATTAACTGCCTTCTGTACGATGGAACTATTCCTCCCCACCATTAATATAACCCTGCCTTCTGTACGCTGGAACTATCCTCCCCACCAGTTAATATAACCCTGCCTTCTGTACGCTGGAACTATCCTCCCCACCAGTTAATATAACCCTGCCTTTTGTACGTGGATAACTATCCTCATCCCACCAGTAAATATAACCCTGCCTGCTGTACGCTGAGAACTTTCCTCCCACCAGTTAATATAACCTGCCTTCTGTACGCTGGAACTATCCTCCCACCAGTTTAATATCAACCCTGCCTTCTGTACGCTGGAACTATCCCTTCCCACCAGTTAATATAAACCCTGCCTTCGTACGGTTGGAAACTATCATCCCCCACAGTTAATATAACCCTGGCCTTCTGTACGCGGAACAATCCTCCCCACATTAATATAACCCTGCCTTCTCTACGCTGGATAAACTATCCTCCCCACCAGTTAATATAACCCTGCCCTTCTGTAGCTAGAACTATCCTCCCTACCAGTTAATTACAACCTGCTTCTGTACGCTAGAACTATCCTCCCCACCCTGTTAATATAACTCTGCCTTCTGTACGCTGGAACTATCTCCCACCAGTTAATATAACCCTGCCTTCTGTTAGCTAGAACAATTCCTCCCCACCAGTAATAAATCCTGCCTTCTGTACCTGGAACACTATCTCCCCACAGTAATATAAACCCTGCCTTCTGTACGCTAGAACTATCCTCCCACCAGTTATTAACCCTGCCTTCTGTACGCTGGAAACTATCTCCACCAGTTAATTTTACCCTGCCTTCTGTACGTGGGAACATCTCCCCACCAGTTTATATAACCTGCCTTCTGTTTCGCTAGAATATCCTCCCCACCAGTTAATATAACCCTGCCTTCTGTACGCTAGAACTATCCTCCCCACCAGTTAATATAACCCTGCCTTCTGTACGCTAGAACTATCCTCCCCACCAGTTAATATAACCTTGCCATCCGTACGCGATAACTATCCTCCCCACCAGTTAATATAATCCTGCATTCTGTACGCTGGAACTATCCTCCCCACCAGTTAATATAATCCTGCCTTCTGTACGCTGGAACTATCCTCCCCACCAGTTAATATAATCCTGCCTTCTGTACGCTGGAACTATCCTCCCCACCAGTTAATATACCCTGCCTTCTGTTACGCTAGAACTATCTCCCCACCTGTTAATATAACCCTGCACTTCTGTAGCTGGAAACTATCCTCCCCACCAGTTAATATAACCCTAGCTGTCTGTACGCTGGTGTGAACTATCCCTCCCCTCCAGTTAATACAACCCTGCCTTCTGTACGCTGGAACTATCCTCCCCACCAGTTAATATAACCCTGCCTTCTGTACGCTGGAACTATCCTCCCCACCAGTTAATATAACCCTGCCTTCTGTACGCTGGAACTATCTACACCAGTTAATATAACCTGCCTTCTGTACGCTGGAACTCTCCTCCCCACAGTTAATATAAACCCTGCTTCTGTACGCTGGAACTATCCTCCCCACCAGTTAATATAACCCTGCCTTCTGTACGCTGGAACTATCCTTCCCACCAGTTAATATAACCCGCACACCAACCACCCTGCCAGCCTACCTAGCACACAAACCACCCTGCCAGCCTACCTAGCACACCACCCACCCTGCCAGCCTACCTAGCACACCAACCACCCTGCCGGCCTACCTAGCACACCAACCACCCTGCCGGCCTACTTAGCACACCAACCACCCTGCCGGCCTACCTAGCACACCAACCACCCTGCCGCCTACCGAACACACAACCACACCTGCCATCCTACCTAGCACAACCAAACCACCTGCCGGCCTACCTAACACACCAACCACCCTGCCAGCCTAACACATCAACCACTCTGCCAGCCTACCAAGGCCATCAACCACCCTGCCAGCCTACCTAACAGACCAACCACCCTACCAGGCTAACTAGCACACCAACCACCCTGCCAGCCTACCTAGCACATAACCACCCGCCAGCCTAAACACACCAACCACCCTGCCAAGACTACATGCACACCAACCACCCTGACAGCCATACTTAGCACACCCAACCACCCTGCCAGCTACCTAGCACCACCAACCACCCTGCCAGCCTACCTAGCACACCAACCACCCTGCCGGCCTACCTAGCACACCAACCACCCTGCCAGCCTACCTAGCACACCAACCACCCTGCCAGCCTACCTCGACACCAACACCTGCCCGGCCTACCTAGACACCACCAACCACCCTGCCAGGCTACCTTAGCACACCAACCACCCTGCCAGCCTACCTAGCACACCAACCACCCTGCCAGCCTACCTAGCACACCAACCACCCTGCCGGCCTACCTAGCACACCAACCAACCCTGCGGCCTACCTGCACACCAAACACCCCTGCAAGCCTACTAGCACACCAACCACATTGCCCAGCTACCTAGACACCAACCACACTGCCAGCCTAACTAGCACACCAAACACCAGCCAGCCGACCTAGACCACCACCACCCTGCCGGCCCCTACTTAACACACCAACCACCCTGCCAGCCTACCTAGCACACCAACCCACCTGCGACCTACCTAGCACACCAACCACCCTGCCAGCCTACCTAGCACACCAACCACCCTGCCAGCCTACCTAGCACACCAACCACCCTGCCAGCCTACCTAGCACACCACCCCACCCTTGTCAGCCTACTAGCACAACAACCCCCCATGCCAGCCTACCTAGCACACCAACCACCTACCGGCCCCTACCTAGCACCCAACCACACTGCCAGCCTACCTAGTCACACCAAACCCCCTGCCAGCCTACCTAGCACACCAACCACCCTGCCAGCCTACCTAGCACACCAACCACCCTGCCAGCCTACCTAGCACACCAACCACCCTGCCAGCCTACCTAGCACACCAACCACCCTGCCAGCCTACCTAGCACACCAACCACCCTGCCAGCCATACCTTGAACACCAACCACCCTTGCCACCTACCTAGCACCACCAACCCACCATGCCAGCCTCCTACCTTAGCTCACCAAACCACCCTGCCAGTCCTACCTAGACACCAACCACCTGACAGCCTACCTAGCACACAACCACCCTGCCAGCCTACCTAGCCACACAAAACCACCCTGCCAGCCTACCTAGCACACCAACCACCCTTCCAGCCTACCAGCACACCAACGACCCTACCAGCCTACCTAGCACACCAACCACCATGCCACCATCCTTACC